TCTGAAAACTTCTGAGAATAAATCTACTCTCTTTCTTACCTCAGACGTTCGAAGATCAAGAGCGTTGCCCTTAAAACTGTTATGTCACCGAGCTGCTCGCATTCGGAATGCCTATTACCATTACCAGTCGCCCCTTCGATTCGTGGACAAGTTCAAATATTTGCCCCCAAATCTACGACTTTCCGAACGAGTCTCCTGTTTGGAGCTGAATCATCGGGTTATCTGCTTTCAGCGCAAACGGGCAAACAGAAGTCAGCACAAAAGCAAGCCAAAGTTAAAGCCGAACGCGAAATCGGAGAAGGCTAAAAACAAAAATAAGAAAAGAGCACAAAAAAAAGGGGCTACTTAAATCGCACACCTTAGCACATCCGTCAGAATGCTCCCCACATGACCAGTGCATGGCTATAAAGAAGTGTAAGGGGGATCGGGGGGAAATACTCGATACTTATTTACACATATCCGATATCCAATCACGTTCAAGGTAAATGATGACCGAATTTCGCACAAAGTCACTGACTAAACTGCGATTCAGAACCGAAAAAGGTTTTGTTTACAGTTAGTCGGCTGCCAAAAGATAAATTAAGCATACGCCCCATGGGCGGTTAAACAAATTGTTTGCACCGCTCTTGGCCTTTATTTATGGCCGCCTGTCAATCACATCAACTTTGCGATAGGCCCAAGGCAAACAAACAGCGCTCTTATCAGCCGAAAATACTGCCGTAGTATAGTAATTTCTTATCAGCAGGGCTTGTCTAGTGGGGGTCTGCCTGATAATGTGGCATTTTAAAATTTTGCACTGCCTAATCAAAGTTCTTTTGCGTACACACTTGACCTAAATGCGCAATTTTTGGAACCTATAGACTTTTGGAGCCTACTGTATAGTACATAAGCAAAGCAGTGGGGTAAACAGAATATTTTCGGGGGCTTAGAGCTCTCTGATGGAAATTTATAATAAAACGATTAGATTACACACTCTTTAGTTAAAAAAGAATCCCAATTCTTTATTTGTTGAAGCAGGTTGAATATTATTTGAAAACGTAATTGGCCCCTGCATACACCACCACTGTCGTACATAGTATACTATTATATACCATCTATATACTTTCACTTTCGGTACACGCATGCGTCACAATTGGGGCCTAAAAACGAAAGTCTGAAAGGAAGTTGACCCTTACCCTGGCTAACATTTTTTTTTTTTTTGCCATGCTTTCGTCATATCACGTTTCGGAATATTGCATACTTAGAAGGGCAGTTTTTATCCTTTTGACTGAAATGCGCTCTTATGTTAATGGGTTTTTTCTCCGCACTCAAGCCCAAGTAGAAATTTTCTATATTTGCCCAAGAGAATTCTTCTTTCAATTTTGAGTGATTTATGGTCGAGTTATGTGTGTGCCCTTGAGATGCCCCCCAACTAATTCAAATGGTAATTCAACCATATTCGCTAATGGATTACATATGCTCGAGTGTTAGCTGCACTGAATAAAGGGAAATGGTTCAATTCATGCTTTCACTCTCGCTTTCTGCATTTATGTACTTGAATTTCAAGGACGCCCCACACCCCCACTGTTAAAGCTAACAGCTCTGTTAAACCGCAGCCTCTCTCTTTTCTCTTGTGTTTTCCTCTCTCTCGGACTCTGCCGTTGGCACTTGCCTAACAGCACGTGCACCGTTTGTTCTTTTCATTCTCATTCTCATTCTACTTGGGGACTCTTAGCAAAGCGGTTGTGTGCGTATCGGTGTACGTGTGTGTGAGTGCGTGGGCGACCGGGCGTATATATGTACTTGCGGGTACATATAGAATTTTGCATTATTTATACAAATTTGATTGGCGGTAAATAAATAAGTTGGCGACTTAACCTCAATTGAACCGGCTGCTCTCGTCGCGTACTTTGTTCTATGGCAGTCATTGTGAATTGCGTTAAACTTTATCAACATTGTGAAATATTAACATAAAAGCCACTTAAAAAACTTAATCAATATTCTTTAGTGCTATGCCTTTCTATGTATATTCAATCTTTCCAATTTGTTTTTATCAGTGCGCCTTCTTCTTTTTCTTTATTTCCAATCGCAGGCCGTTGTTTTTGCTGCGTTGATAATATAAATAGAACTTAACTTTACTTTTCTGTGCTTTGCTTTGGTTCGATTCTTAAATGCCCTGCCCCCCAATCGCTCACTCCCACTCCCTCCCTTCTTCCTCCTGCTCCCTCAGCTTCGTTTGCTGTTTGTTTTTACACACAGCGATAATGATAAAGGCCGTGTATTTAAATCAAGCATGCGGTTTGATGCTTATGTGTGTTTGTGGGCAGAGTGAACGATTTATAAAGCTATCAGCGCGATTTTCTCGAACAGATGCAACTCGTATTTATTGCATTATAAAATAATTTAATTACCCAAGTGGGGTTGACAGCCAGGCGTAAACCGCAAGTGTGGCAGGCCTAGAAAGAGAGCAGTCTAGAACAACGAGAGGAGCAACGGGAATTAGATTAAACCAGCAAGGCGACAAACGAGAATAACAAAGTATTGACGTTATCTGAAAAATGTGACTGTATCTTAACCAATACCTCGGTTTTTAAATATTTTTGAAATGTAGTAAAAGCAAATTTAAAATGTGATTAAACAAGTAAAGAACTACTTAAAAGATAACTTTGTTGAAAAGTTTAAAAATCGTAATGGCTTAAGGGTTATTTTTCTCGTGTGGCATTGAACTTTAGAACTTTTGTCGCCTCGGTCGCTGAACTCGACTAGAAAATTGACCGTGAGCTCAGGTTGCAGTGCATGCAGGCGACGCAAGCGTCGTTAGCGTTCTCTGTGGCAATCGTTTCGATCGATTAGGTATTTATTTACCGACAGCATTTTGCAACAGCTTCACAATGACAGCAAGGCAAGAATTAAATGAATTGAAATAAATGAAAATAAAGCTACGCGCACATTGACTCCGCCTTGCTGTTGTTATTGTGGGTGGTGTGGTGAACTTGCTCAAGTGCATTCATCACTCAATATTTTTTTCTGGGGGCTGCAAACGATTTTTTTGTTGATTGCAGCCAATAATGAGAGACAAAAAAGTGTTTAAAAATGTTAAAAATAAACAAACGCGTCGTGGCAAACAAAAAGCAACAGAAAGAACAAATAAAACGCGGCGATGTGTGCAGCTTTGACTTAATTTCAGTGCGTTCAACCTAAGAGCGAGCGAGACGGGAAGATCGATGCAGAGCAAAAGCTCACGCACAAGTGCATAGATAGTGGGCGAAAGAGAGCAGTAAAGTGATGTGTTGTGATTTTTATTTACAGTTGAAGGATTATTATGTGACTTTTACAAGGCGAGACAGAGACGGCGACAAAGGATCGCAGTGTTCTTCAGACAAATTGACAAGTGCAACAACCATAACAACTGTTTTACACTACGTTGCAAAAGTGTAACAACATCTAGAACTAAAGAAAGAACGAAAATAACTACAGAAAGATAACAAAGTGACAAAAAAGTTAAACAACGGCCTAGAAATGCATGGAATTACGCACCTGTACCGCCAGCATGCGGTGGAAAAACAGCTGAGCGGCAACGAGAGCTGGTCCCGCCAAATTTATCCGAGTTACGGCAGCAGTGCCGATGCCTCCTCGCAGGGCAGTCGCCTCTACAGTGTGGACTCCTCGAGCAGCTCCAGCTCCAACTCCAACAACTCGGGTGGCGGGGGAGGTGGGGGAGGAACGGCAGGCGGGGACAACCTAGGCGGAGTCACTGGAAGCGCCTATGCCCAGTGGCAGAGCGATCGCCATTCACTGCCGCAGGCTGTGCCCGATGCCCCAAGGTCGCTGGCCAACCACCACTACCGCAACTCGCCCACCCACCACGCCCACTACAGCCAGCAGCAGCAGCCCACCGGCGGCAGTCTCAAGCGGACGCCCTCCTCGAAGCGCAGCTTCCTGGAACGATCTCACAGTCCGGCAATCTATGGCGTAAGTAAAGAGCTAAATTCAGGATGCAAACCGATCAGAAATGTAGATACAGTGCTTTCTTAAAGCAGGGATTCTGAAAAACTGGTTATTATTTTAACAAAGACTTAACAAACTTATTACATGATTAGATTGTGTTGATTATGAATTGTAATAGAATGAATACAACATACTGTATTCAAAAGTAAAGTAATTTTTAGAAGCTTGCCTTGGTTGAATATCGGTTTGCACTCCTAAAATTAAAACCTTTCCTGAGACATAGTTTATGCTAACTGGAATAACCTTGCAGAGCATGCGTCGCAGTGGAGCTCCGGACTTCGGCTCACCGCCACCCACTGCGCCCGTGGGCGGCTACTTCCCGCACGACCTCGACGACATCTACGAGAGCCAGGCGGACCATCAGTATTTCACCCACACGGGTGCCAGCGGACAGCAGCAACAGCGGCCCACAGCCATCTCGATCTTTCACCGCGTGAGTGCCGCCCACACATCGCTGGATGACTACACCATGCCTGGGGAGTCTTCGCGCCAGTCGATCAACAGTACAGATAGCGGGACGAGCAGCGGGCCCTTCAATCGCCAGCGCTTCGACAACTCGTCCTTCGCCAAGAGTCTCAGCGTCGAGGAGCAGGAGCAACAGCACTCGCCCTCGCACAAGGAAGGACACAGCAAGCAGGGCAAGCACCACCACCACCATCATCACCACCATCATTCGATCCACGAGCTAGTGAAGCATTTCGGCAAGAAGATGCACCTGTGGCCCAGGAAGCATCACGACGCACAGAGCGTTTGCACCTCGCCGCAGAACGATCCGCAGGAGAACTTCCGCACCAGATCCAAGAGCTTGGATGTGAACACTTTGAGTCGCCCCAATCGCATCTTAGATGACTGCGGGGCCACCTACAAGATCTACGACAGAATAGTCAAAGAAGGTAAAGGGTTTTGGGACGGGTAAAACTCACCTGGTACTTGCTGTTATATTAAGTTTATGATTAGTTTAAGAAGTCTGCTATTTAGAACTTGTGCTTATGATTGTTTTAAACCTCTTTCAGGTGCTCATATGCGTCGTGCCTCTGCGGATTTGGAGAAACGACGAGCTTCAGTTGGCGCCGCAGGTCGAGGGCTGCGAGGAGATGGTACCTTAGATCCCCACCACGCAGCCATCCTATTCAGAGACTCCAGAGGGGTAAGTTCATAACTAAAGATAAATACCGCGTGTTTTACAAATAGACACTAAGAAAGCTTGAGTTTTGTAGAATTAAATTTACACAACGATTTAATGAGCATTTATTGCCAGCAGAAATAGCTCTAAAGATTACTTAAGATAGCGTTTACTTTTTAGAAGAGTAAACTCATAAAAGAAAAAGACAACATAAGATATCTATTTAGTAACAATCAACAAACAAGGAATATCTTTTGCGCCTCAACGTGTTGAAATGGGAGTTATCTCTGCAACTATATAGTATTTAACAATAGTAAGTCATCTTGCATGTGATATCTCCCAAGTAATTTCCCTCTTCCCCTTTTATTTTGCCTTTTCTTATCGCCTTTAAAGGCAATCTGGTCTCTACTCTGATTCAAAGCTATTAATAGCTGACTACACGCATCTGTGAGTGTTCCCCCTTTTCTCTTAGACTTCTACTGTTTGACTCCCCTTTTTGTTTACCTCATTCAGTTCACTTCACCTTGACATTTCAGATTTGTTTTGTTGCCTGTTCAGAAATGCGTTTTCCCCAGTTACTTATATAATTCCCCCAAGGTCATGTGCAGTCGAGTTTGTTATTCTTCTCTTGCTTGCACCTGTTGCATGTCAAGAGCAATTAAATCCCCAGCGTTATTCCTTAGAAAAACATAATTTTTACTTTCTTTTTAAACTCTAAGTCAGCTCTCCGGATTGAATATTTTTCATTGCATACTTTAAGGTTTACGGGTGTTTGACATTGCGTGTAGGGAACATGTAGAGAACCACACGGCGTATTAAATTGACATATTACGTATACGTAATGTGCCACGGTAACTGAGATAAGATTTGCTACCAAATCTCCCTTCGCAATTTAAGCTATATTGTTGAAATGCAGTTAAATCAATGAATCACCATATTTAAAAAAAAAAGTCATTGTGAAGCCAATGTATTTTATTTCCCTTATGACTTTGTCATCGACTTCAGATTAGTTGGATTACCTTTCTCGCTGGTTTTCGCCCGCACCCACATATGTAAAGCGCAAGGTCGCATAATGGGCCTAATAACCATTATAAGTATGTTGTTATTATATTGCTAGTCTCTTGTTATTGTTGTTTGGCACTCTACAACGTGGTCACCCGATCGAAACTGGTTTATAACGATATATAGAATCATGTGTGAAGTATATTTTTGTCGATTGATTGCATATGGTGGGAATTCTTTTTCAATTCTTTCTGACTTTTCTATATTCTGACGTCAGCGGCTTGGGCTTTCACCGCGAAATTCTTTCTGCCATAGGTTTGTTATTGGTATATGCCTGCTAATGATGATGATTAATTAGCTAAGTACTCTCCACATGTCAGGCTTCTCTCACTATTCTTTGTTGTCCCTCTCCCATACTCTCCTCTCTTCTCTTCAGCAAGGCCACAATCTTGCAGTACCGTTTGTTTTACTTATCGACCCCAAACAAAACAGCAAATGTACACAGAAGAAGCTCTCTGCTTTTTCGATGCGTATTTTGCTCTGAGTCACTTGACTTGAGTGGTTTCACTTTGAGTCGAGTACTTGTTGCGCTTCTTCTTTTTCCGCCTGCAGTGGCCTTCTTGAGCTTTTAGCTAGTGGTTGTCTCCTCTCCCTGTATTTTCACATATGCCCCTCTCAGTCTGTAAACGGTTTGTTTGCTTTAACGATTTAACTATTAAGTCGAAAAGGAAATAAACGAGCGCCATTCTTCTGATACCCTCTTTTGGTCGACTAACTAGGCATAAATGATTCTTTACTCAGTTTGTGGGCTCTCTCCAAAAAATCCACAGGGAGAGCCAGTGAAAAGATAAGCAACGCAAACAAGGTGTAACAAGTGAACCGTTGGACAAATAAAAAGTTTATTTTTGTACCACCTAACCCAGTTTTTTATTGCACTCAGTAAATAAAGTGATGGCAATTTAAATGTCCTAATAAAAATTTATTAATTTGTAAGTACTAAGCTAAAAAAAATTTTCTACAAAATTTATTAACTTTGTTTACAGTAAATTGGCATATAAATTATATCAAAATAAAGCAATTATGAACAAATATGGACTACGAAACCACACCTTATTTTGACGTGTTAGGTCGTAATGTTGAAATTATTAAGTACTATTTTGAGGCTGTTAGGTAATGTTATTGCCCAATTTTCCTTAAGAGTAAGTGCATTCTAGAGTGTTGCAGCTTCGTTACATTTACATGACAGCCTGTCGCGTGTGTTCTTGTATTTGTTCAAGCTTTAGCACTCTCCCGCACTTTGCAGGCTCTCTCTCTCTTTCTCTCACTTTGCCGCTCTTTGTTTGGTTGGGCGATCATGTGGGTTCGATTGGCGCTCGCGAAACTCTTAACCAGTGGGATTTTTTTTAACCATTTTGAGTTTACATTTGCGTGAGCGCAGACGTGCCCGGAAAGCGACCAAAACGTAGCCGAAACGGAAACGAAGTGAGACGGAACGGAATACGGCCGTATAATCGGGGATCCAACAACGGAGTGGTTTCGTCACTTTTCGGCTCTTGATAAATCCGTCAGCCAGTGTTTTTTGAGTTCTTCGAGTGCGAGTTTTACATGTATCGCCGTCGCTATTCCGCCTTCGAGTCGAGCACGCCCCGCGTGGGCGTGCTACCCTCTCCGCCCCAATATGCTTCCGCCGCCCCGAAAACGCCACCCAAACTGAGCGTACACTTTGACCCCAATCTGCCGAAAGACAACGACAGCAACAACAACTTGAGCAGTGAAAATGCAAATGCGAATGCGAAAATCGGTCGCAAGGCGCGTTCGCTAAGCAATTCGCCGCTGTATCAGCGCAAGAAGCGATATGGCCATCTGCCGGCGCTAATGTCGAATAACGGGCCGACGGCCAGCAGCAACTATCAACTGTTGAATAGTGCAAACCTGCGCGATCTCGTCGACGGCCAACGCCACTCACAGCACGTAAGCAGGCGAGATGACAACAGCAATAGCGGCCATAACAGCCATAACAGCAATGGCCAGAGTCAAAGCCAAAAACAAAACCCGAGCCACATTAGCCAAAGCATCCAAAGCCTTCCAACTGGCAAAAGCAAGCCAAAAGATGGCAAAAAGCTGAAGGCAACTTTAACGGCGGCCATGTCATCATCGCTGCTGCGACGCAAGGCGCACAGCAATCACAGTCAGCAGCAGCAGCAGAAAATGCAGCAGCAGCAGCAGCAACAAGAGCTGCAACAGCAGCAACAACAACTACAACAAGAGCAGCAGCAAAAACAACAGCAGCAGCAGCAGCAACTGAGAAACAACAGCCATACAATTGCAAATGCTGGCCGCCATTCGCTGGGTCATTCACCCGCAGTGCAGCAGACGCTCGTCTACGAACGGCGGAGATTCAGCAGCGCCCACTCCACCCCCTCCTCGGACTCCCCCTCCCCCGCCACCATTCCCCTGTGCATCAGTGCCTGCTAATGCGACGGCGCAGCGACTACAGCGTCGAGCAGATCGAACAGTGGAAGCGACAGCAGCAATTGTTGCCACGATCCGGACGCAAGATTAGCGTAAGTGCACGGAAAGAAAAACCTTGGGATCTGTGTAAAACCATTAATGGTTTACGAGTACCTTAGTGTGTGATGTAAAGAATATTTCCTCTTGAGTTGACTGTAAATGGACATGCTTCATTTGATTTGAATCTGAAAGTGCTTCGAATTGAAAACAAAAGAAAAACCATACAGTGTGTGTGTGTGTTGGTAAAATGACAAAGCTTTGAGGGTGAAGCTTTTCCGCCGATTGAATTCGGCTGAATTCACCGCAAAATATATTTAGACTAAATGAGGGTCAGCATTACAAAGCAAATACGACACATAAAAAACGAAATAAACCAATTAACCAATGTTTACCTAACTGTTCAGGAGTGAAATATACATTTTTAACTAAGAACGTTTGTGTTTTAAGTAGGCTGTTTTCTGTTGTTTAAAATATTCTCTAAAGACCTGTTTAAAAGCCCACCTTCGTTTTTCTCTGTGTACACTTTTCTTGACCCCATTTTTTTCTACAAAACATCGCAACGGGAGGGAAAGAGGAGAACAATTGCGGGTAAAAACGTTTAGGCTGAACCAAAATTGGCTGATACTCGTATGCGAGCGTAATTTTTCAATTGCCGTATCTGATATGGGGCACTTGCCTCCCGCATTCCCCGCACCCCCTTCCTTCGCTAATGTGTCATAATTCCACAATTGCACATTTCAATGTTAATTCAAAGCTATTCGAACGAACAAACCTCTAATACCTCGACTCCCCCTTCTGGTTGCTCGTAAATATTTCATTGGTGCTGGAATTGTTTTTGTTTTTCTGGCTTTTATCTGTGATTTCGCTTGTTGATTAACAGATAACGTGTATGAGAACTATATCAGCGCAATTTGAACTATTATTTACGCAGCGTTTCCCTATTGTTTACCTTTTGTGTGGTGCGGCTCACATTTTGTAATCCTTGAAAAGCTCCAATCATTGTGACCCACATATAATATCCGAATCGCGAATGATATCAGATTTTTGTGAAGAAAGCGGAAGCGAAGAAACGTAATTTATGGAGAAGAGAGGTGTAAATAAAACTACGCTTAAATAACTTACGTAACGATTTACGTATGCGCATTTTACGACCGTTCGAGTTAACTTGTTTATTTCTTTAATAACACTGTGCGACAAAAAAATGTTTGAGTTGATTTTTTCTTATTTTTCACTTCTACTAGTCAAAATAAGAATACAAGTTTTTGGATTTGTTAATATCAATAGCCAATCAGCTTCTACGCACACTCAAAGGTCCCAAAAACGCGTGTTTTTGCATATTTCACAGCCTTATAATACCATATTGTTATAAGCGTTTTATGCAAGTTCAATATCTATTAATTAAAATATATTAAGCAAATATACCGTTAGGCTTTTATAACAATGCTTTAAAAATGTTTTCTCCCAGCTCTATACTCTGGGCGACTACGTATGGAACTTGTTACGCGAGGATACCTCTGAAAAATCCAAAAAAAATCAGAAAAAAATTTCACTTTTAAAAAAAATAATAGTTTATTAAAAATAAAATAAAAAATAAAATTTTGTGTTAAATATTTTCATAATAATAATTTCATAAAATTTATCATAAAAAAAGAAATCCTATCACTTAGAAGGTGGCATAAATATTTTTGTGCATAACTTATGCCCCTTAACCGAAAACAATCAAAAAAGTAACTCAAACAAACATTTCGTTAAATTTTGTCGCACAGTGTAATAGTTCACTCTGCACTCTCTTGTGTAGTTAGCAGCTATAAATTAAGTTTTATCATTTCGAAAGTTAATTAAGCAGGTGTTTTTTCCTATAACGAAAACTAGATTTTGTGTAAAACTTTGAAAAGTTAATTAGCATTCACTTAAATTATGTGATTTTAATTAAATGTTTGTGTGTTTTTTCCAGTTGCCTGTTGCTGATCCGTTCCTTGAGAAAGTAAACCTATCTGACCTGGGTAAGTTTTCGATTAACCCTCGTATTAAGCACCTATGTCCCTCACTTCCTTCACCTTGCCCACCTTGGGAACAAACAAAATGTTTAATTAAAATAAATTAGCAAAACACTCTTGGCATTCGATCAAGAGTCGGCCTCTGAGGATTTCTTCGGGCACACGACGCCATCGCCACAAAAAAAAACAAAATCTACATATGTATATACAAATCGGTTGAAGAAGCAGACGAGCTATGGAATCAAAGCCATAACTCACAGGGATTATGGTAACAGCAATGGCCGATCCGCTCGTTGACGTGGGCGGTCTAAAATGCGACACAGAACATAATCATTAGGGAGCGAACATGTATATCATTTTCTATTTTCCGCTGGGAATAGTGGGTTTCGGTAGTAGGCTAAAAACCTATTCACCTAGACCACCGAACACACCCCCAAAAGTTTCGTACTTATTCATTCTTTTTTACCAAAGCTAATTATAAGTTCGAAGTACGCAGCTCGGGGAAAAATCGAAAACAAGGAGAGCAATGGCAAGGGAAAGGAAAATAGTGCATGTAATTTGTTGGCAATTTCAGACATTTCATGATCCTCATTAACGTCAATTCCCCACCGATCCGATCCGATCCGATCCGATCCAAAGCGATCTCTCACCGAAGATTATATTCAATTTATATAGCGCTCTGAGAACTTTTCGATTTTGTTTCGAGGTTTCTGCTCAGAGTAGTGCTTCCCATTTGTATTTTGTTCGGTCTATCATTTGTTTGTTTCTGCGCTTTTCCCTGACGAAAACTGAAAACTTTTCCCACCCAGAGAGCTACAAAGGCAGAGAGGGAGCGGAGATGGAAAACAACACAGACTGCAGATCAGTTTATGATAAAATTTCGAATCGTTTAGAACGTCGCCAACGAAGACGGGCAGACGACAAAAATTCGGCGAATTTCCGTGTGTTTTTCGTGTGGAATTATTGGCAGCAGTAACGGCGGCAGCAGTTCGCGATCTATATGTGTGTGTCTTCTATATGTGCCAAAGTGTGTCTGCGGATATAGCCCAGAGTCGTGGGAATAATTACTTACCAGCCCAACAATCGAACCGACCAACCGAAAGCCAAAGTCGACCCATCGAAGGTCTTCGCTTCCCTGTTAGTCATTCGTCAAGAATTTTCGAATAGCGCCGCGACGCCAAAAGCAACTGAGCCACAACCGCCACCTCGCACCGCCCAATTGCCCATTGCCACCCACTGTGGAAATGGGTTTTCAATTGTTTTGATCCCACACAGCGTAAAGAAATAGCAGAATAATCAACAAACCAACAATGAACGCCAAGGAGCCTTTCAATTAACTCGTTCGACTCGTGGCCCGCTGTCAAAAGAAACGCAAAACGCTGAGGAATATACCATAGAATCTCGGAATCGATAACCCATATATACCTTTGCATTTGCGTACGAATGTATATGCATTAAAAAGCAATCAAAGCAACTGAAAACCCACCGATTTCATCGAGAACGAGAGAGAAGTACGAAAAATAATGAAGAGCCTTCGCCTCCATTTCTTCGGGATTTTTATCTCGATTTCTTTCGACTTTCTTTATCTTTTCGAACGATTCGCCGCCCGGCAACCGCAGTAAATTCCGTATATTAAACAACATTTAAATGTTTACACAGCTCAGTCGGAAAATCTTTTTGCCATTTGCCTAAAGCTCCAAATATTTTACAATTTATTTCAATGTATATTTTTCCTGCCGCGGTATTTGACCTTCGCTTTTTTTCTATATTATTTTCGTTAGTCTTTAAACATTCTGTTTATATATTTGCTGATTTTGCGGTGGACATCATCCGGATAATTTGTTGGAAATACTTCTAGCGACGGATTAGAAATGTTCCGAAGCATAGCCAAAGTCAAGACGAAAGTTTTTCATGTTAGTTTATTTATAATTTAAAAACTTTCTTTCCTTTTCAATAAATAATAATTATACTTTGATCCTTGTCCACGTCAAATGAATATTCTTCAGAAACTATAGATTTCCTAAATAGATTTCCAAATGTATTTTGGCTTAAGATCCAAAATAATCGTCATAGACAGTCATATTTTCAGTGTTGATGCCTTATGCTGCGGTTAATTAATTTCTTGGCACAGCCGTCTGTCCCAATATCTGTTATATGGGTGTAATGGCTCCGACAATATAGCTGAATGCTGAATCGGTGAATGTTTGGCTTGCATTTATCAGGCCCCCGACAAGACCGATCTACAGCCTCTGTGAATATATATGCGCTTTTATATAGTTTTTGATTAACACCTTTTGGCCCCGCCTCAATATTTATTTGTTTACATTGTGCCAGAGCCGTCTAGATCGTAAACCCTCTCCCTTGCGATCTCTTTGTCTCGTCGAGAATTGAAATAATATTTATTGTTGAACAATTTGGTGAATCTATTCTATTTTGGTGTGTTTGGCGTGTTTGTGGCCGCTTCTGTTGGTTATGTCGTACGCTAAATTTATTTTAATTAAAAATGTCTTAATTTAATTAATCGAAACGCGCGCGCCCGAAAATCTATGGCGGCGGTTTGTTCTTTTCTTGGGTTCGTTTTCGATCAGTTCACGTCAATAGTGTTTTACTGCCTCAGCTAGAAACAGTGAGAAGCGCGTAGAACGGCGCTGATCTGTTAGCGGTCTGTTAGTGGCCTGTTAACTAGTTGGTTGATCAATTAGGCACGCCAATTAGCAGAGTCGCCCAGTTAATTGTTAGCACCCACAGACCTCAGACACAAGACCAGATCGAATCGGATCGTATCAGACTAGCGTTATGCGACACTGACAATCGCTGAAATTAACAAACCCTTCAAAAAGAAAGTAAAGTGTGAAAAAGAGCAGACTGAGAACCCAGAACGCATGTTACAGTTGCACTTCTACTCGAATCATGCGGGTCGCCTGGTGCTGGGAGGTGGCAATGGTCGCCCGGCCGACGTCCTTTGCTACCCGCTGGAGAGCATCAAAGAGTTCGAGCAGATCTCCGAGGCCTGGAAGCGTCTGCTAGCCGAGCTGCTCAAGAAAGGTGCCCATCCATAGTGATTCCAATCTGTCCCCTTTCCTTCCACAAGTAATTCCTTCTCTAATCCAAATGTTTTCTTATTCCTGCAGAGGAGGACGACTCACAGATCTTCGTGAAGTTCTTTCGCTTTCACAAGTGCTATGATCTGATACCCACCTCCGCCAAGTTGGTCGTCTTCGACACCCAGCTCCTCGTGAAGAAGGCCTTCTACGCCTTGGTCTACAACGGCGTAAGGGCGGCTCCGCTCTGGGATTCGGAGAAGCAACAGTTCGTGGGCATGCTAACGATCACTGACTTCATCAAGATCCTGCAAATGTATTACAAGTCGCCAAACGCCTCCATGGAGCAGCTGGAGGAGCACAAGCTGGACACGTGGCGAAGTAAGTGGAGTCCAGAAGAGCTGTTTTGAGATCTTAAACTAATCAAATTCTTTGTTTAGGTGTACTGCACAACCAGGTGATGCCGTTGGTCAGCATCGGGCCGGATGCCTCCCTCTACGATGCCATCAAAATTCTCATCCACAGCCGCATTCATCGCCTGCCCGTCATCGATCCGGCGACCGGCAATGTCCTCTACATCCTGACACACAAACGCATACTGAGGTTCCTCTTCCTATACGTGAGTTGATGGATTTGGTTGTACCTAAATTCAGGGAAACTCATGTGGTATATTCTGTTTGCAGATTAATGAATTACCAAAGCCCGCGTACATGCAAAGGAGTTTGCGCGAACTGAAGATCGGCACCTACAACAACATCGAGACTGCCGACGAGACGACGAGCATCATCACGGCGCTCAAGAAGTTTGTGGAGCGACGCGTCTCGGCGCTTCCATTGGTGGATTCCGAGGGACGGCTCGTCGATATCTACGCAAAGTTTGATGTGATTGTAAGTATCCAAATGGGTGTCGCAACTCAATTCCCAAGGGATTCGAATTAGTTCTTTAGTTCTCAATTACTACTTACCCTTATTATAAGGATTTGTATATATTGTGTTTTTGTAGAAGAATTATTTTTAATTTGGCCAATCCATATATAGCTTCTATAATTAAAAGCAATTAATGTTGATTGTCTCAAGAACTTACGATAGATTTTAAAGTGTTCATTAGATAATCGATATAATAAAACTCTGAAGTACACATTTAGAAAAGAAATAAAAATTAAGATTGAATATCTGAAGTTTTGTGAAATTAGTGCCTGAATTATTAATTGATTAAAATATTTCTTTCAGAATCTCGCTGCTGAGAAAACCTACAACGATCTCGATGTGTCGCTGCGCAAGGCGAACGAGCACCGCAACGAGTGGTTCGAGGGCGTGCAGAAGTGCAATCTGGACGAGTCGCTCTACACGATCATGGAGCGCATCGTGCGCGCCGAGGTGCATCGGCTGGTGGTGGTGGACGAGCACCGCAAGGTGATCGGCATCATCTCGCTGTCGGACATCCTGCTCTACCTGGTGCTGCGGCCGAGTGGCGAAGGCATGGGTGGCTCGGAGAGCTCGCTCCGCGCCACCGATCCCGTCCTGCTGCGCAAGGTGGCCGAGGTGGAGATTCCACCGACGGCCGCCACGACGACGACAACGCCCCCGCCTCGCAGTCCATCGGCCGGATCCGGCAACCGCAGCCTGATCGAGGACATACCCGAGGAGGAGCCAGCGCCGCCGAGGAGCGACGACGCCGACAGTGATAACAACAAGTCCGCCAGTGAGGACAAGGCCAACAACAATCAGCACGACCAGACGACGACGACGACAACGGCGGCAACGGCGACGGCCAATGGTGATAGCAGTAATAGTCCCGTGGAAGTGTCCTTCGCCGACGAGGCGCACGAGGAGGAGGAGGAGGCCGCCGACCAGGTCGAGCGCAGCAATTGTGATGACGATGATGATCAGGCGGCGGTCCTGGCGGAGATCGAGCGCAAAAAGGCATCCGCGAGAGCGTCCGACGAGGACGACGATGGGCTGAGCAGCGCCGTGTCCGCTGCCTCCGCTTTGGGCCAGTCACTGACGCCCGCGGCGCGAGAAATGGCGTTGGTTAGTGAATAATAAGCCCCTTAATTTAAACACAAGCTAAACAGATACAGCTGCAACAACAGAAACAAACAGAAGCAAAACAAAACAAAACAAAACAAAAACAATTGCTAAACAAGAACTAAGAACCCAAAACAAAACAAAACAAAACAATAATGATAAAGCAGAGAAAATTATATTTGAATATTAATAGTTGTTAAGGATATATTATTACAATTATGAAATATTATGTATTTTACAACAAGCAACTAAAAGCAAAACAAAAACAAAAAGCTGTTAACAAGATGTTTATATATACACACAAGAGAACGAAAACAAAACAACAAATTACATTAGAATGTCTTTAAATTTTAAACGATGTAATTGATTATTATATGATAGTACAGTACAAGTGAAAAACTGTGTTTCGTATTGGATTGCCACTGAATTGGAAAGTTGTTTGGGTTCGAATTCCAGAATGGGAAAATCCTGTGTTCAGTATTTTGCCACGTCAGGTATAAAAAGTTTCGTTTTTAATAATATTTATTTGAAATCTCTGGGCTTGACCTGTCAAGAACAATACATTAAAATACTTGCATCAACAGAAGTTTCCGTCTTTGGAACTGTTTGCTATCTGAAATTATATTTTATACCCACTTTTTGAATCCGTTGAATTTTTTAGTAAGTGGTACCTCTTGCGTCCTTCAAATTATATTCCATAAAACACCAATAAGGGAAGCTTATATACCCTTGCAGTCACCACAAATGTCGAGCAATGCATAAAGGCCAAACAACATTAAAGTTATGACGATTTTTCTATTTATATTTCCAAATTTTCACAGAGTGTTACTATGGCAGCTTTATGATATAGTCGTCCGATTTTCATGAAATTTAATCCAATTATTTATTTATATCCAATCAAAACTACTTTTCAGAGCATGCCACTTCAAAATTGGATTAAAATAAGAATTGTTTTGGGCTTCGAATTCGTGAATTTTGGTCAATTTTCCACAAAACCCATTTTTATACTCTTGCAGAGCAAAAGGGTATTATAATTTCAGTCAGAAGTTTGCAACGCAGTGAAGGGGACACCTCAGACCCCATAAAGTATATATATTCTTGATCAGCATCACGAGTAGAATCAGAATACGTCTGTACGTCTGTCCGTCTGTCCATTTGTCCGTCTGTCCGTTTCCGCGCAAACTGGTCTCTCAGCTTTAAAGCTATCTTGCTGAAACTTTCACAAAAGGTGTGTAGTTATTGCACGCAGTATATAAGTCGGAACGGGCCGGATCGGCCGGCTATATCGGATAGCTCCCATACCAAAAAATGAAATAAAAAATTCTCACGCTGTTGTTTTAATCAGATCGACTTGATTTCTTCAAGAAAGCGTTTTCGAATTATTATTGAATTTCGGATTAAATTTGATCAAAATCGGATAACTCTATCATATAGCTGCAGTGGCGGATTTACGAGGGTGGTTTTAGGGGTTCAAGCCTCTACCAAAAAGCCCCGCAGAGCCGTAAAAATGAATTGAAACTATTCGTTTTTTTCGTATTCGTATTTTTTTTCAATCGAAAAAGCATCAATTAATTAATTACTTGTGCGCTGCGTGCTATTTCGTGACACGCACAAAGAATCAGCGTGGTTTCGCATCTCTGATCTGATGTTTAATTCGAAATAACGGTTCTTTCGAGTGATGCGGCATTCTGATTGGTGGAAACAGTGAGGGGAAGTGTGCCAAGGACAGTTAACTTAAAAAAGAACCGTTACTTAAGTAAATTCAGTTTTACCAGCTGCAACCTGCTATTGTTTATGTTGGCCTGGTGTCAGAAATCGAATTTCATATTTAAATTTTCTGGTTTCAAGATCCCAAACACCAGGCAAACAGAAAGGCTTAGTAGGTGGATGCTCAGCAGCAGCCTTTATGTATAAGGCAGGGGCGGATGCAAAAAAAAATTTGGGGGGATCCGATCGAACAATTTTTTAGTTTGGCCTGGGAGTCCAATTAAAAATTTATTTAGTTTATATGGTTGAAGGACCGTGTGCTGCAAGGGGTTTCGAAGAAGTCAGAGATTTCGGGGGGAGTCCGGACATCCTGGCTCACCTCCTTTCCTCCGCCCCTGATTAAAAGAATAACATTTTCTGCAAGCAAATTGCGACGAACTAAATTTTAAACACCAGGCCAACATAACCGCTTAGCAGGTGTAAATCGATCAGCTGATCAGCTTAAAATTGGCTTCTTCAGTGTTGAGCGCGTGACAAATTATTCTTGTCACGCCAACAACAACCACATGGAAATTAATTAATTACTTGTGCGCGGCGTGCTATTTCGTGACACGCACAAAGAATCAGCGTGGTTTCGCATCTCTGATCTGATGTTTAATTTGAAATAACGGTTCTTTCGAGTGATGCGGCGTTCTGATTGGTGGAAACAGTGAGGGGAAGTGTGCCAAGGACAGTTAACTTAAAAAAGAACCGTTACTTAAGTAAATTCAGTTTTACCAGCTGCAACCTGCTATTGTTTATGTTGGCCTGGTGTCACAAATCGAATTTCATATTGAAATTGGCTGGTTTCAAGATCCCAAACACCAGGCAAACAGAAAGGCTTAGTAGGTGGATGCTCAGCAGCAGCCTTTAGGTATAAGGCAGGGGCGGATGCAAAAAAAAATTTGGGGGATCCGATCGAACAATTTTTTAGTTTGGCCTGGGAGTCCAATTAAAAATTTATTTAGTTTATATGGTTGAAGGACCGTGTGCTGCAAGGGGTTTCGAAGAAGTCAGAGATTTCGGGGGAGTCCGGACATCCTGGCTCACCTCCTTTCCTCCGCCCCTGATTAAAAGAATAACATTTTCTGCAAGCAAATTGCGACGAACTAAATTTTAAACACCAGGCCAACATAACCGCTTAGCAGGTGTAAATCGATCAGCTGATCAGCTTAAAATTGGCTTCTTCAGTGTTGAGCGCGTGACAAATTATTCTTGTCACGCCAACAACAACCACATGGAAATTAATTAATTACTTGTGCGCGGCGTGCTATTTCGTGACACGCACAAAGAATCAGCGTGGTTTCGCATCTCTGATCTGATGTTTAATTTGAAATAACGGTTCTTTCGAGTGATGCGGCGTTCTGATTGGTGGAAACAGTGAGGGGAAGTGTGCCAAGGACAGTTAACTTAAAAAAGAACCGTTACTTAAGTAAATTCAGTTTTACCAGCTGCAACCTGCTATTGATTATGTTGGCCTGGTGTCACAAATCGAATTTCATATTGAAATTTGCTGGTTTCAAGATCCCAAACACCAGGCAAACAGAAAGGCTTAGTAGGTGGATGCTCAGCAGCAGCCTTTATGTATAAGGCAGGGGCGGATGCAAAAAAAAATTTGGGGGATCCGATCGAACAATTTTTTAGTTTGGCCTGGGAGTCCAATTAAAAATTTATTTAGTTTATATGGTTGAAGGACCGTGTGCTGCAAGGGGTTTCGAAGAAGTCAGAGATTTCGGGGGAGTCCGGACATCCTGGCTCACCTCCTTTCGTCCGCCCCTGATAAAAAGAATAACATTTTCTGCAAGCAAATTGCGACGAACTAAATTTTAAACACCAGGCCTAGAAACTATTCGTTTTTTTCATATTCGTATTTTTTTTCCATCTAATGGATTTTGTTGTTGTAATTTTTAATAAAAAAGTGAAACATGCTTTGGGAACAAGTAAAAAAATTCCAAGAGTAACCCCCTACTACTTCGCCTGGTACTTCAAAGTGCGTTTGGCCCAAAAATTGCTGCCTTGACTGACCGATATATAGAAATCCGATTTTTAAAAAATTTAATTTATGATCAAAAATGACGGCGTGATAATGTTTTATACATATGTAGGTATATACTTTCTGAGATCTGAGGTGTCTTCTACCGAGTTGCAAGGGTATAAAAAAAATTCAACATATCATGCATGATGACATATGTATATTTTAACAGTTTAAATGAGTATGATAAATGTGTGTATAAATGTGTTGGAAGTGGATTTATATTTTTAGAGCTAAAATGATACAGCAGCCGAGGTCCATGATCTGCAGGTACTCGGAACCGCCGTCCTGCAGGCGGAAGCAACATTCACCTAGCTTATCACAGATCTTGGCCTTCTGTGGGTCATTCAGCCCCGGATGGTGGACAATGTACTCGACAAACTGCTCCATCATCTGGCCAACGCTGTAAGCGGAATAGCCGATATCCCGCACAAACTTCTCCAGGCGCTCGTAGTTTCCCGAGCGACAGACCTCGAGGTAGTCGTCCAGGAAGTAATCCGGAATAACGCCCGACATCTCGAACAGGTCCGCCGTGTTTATGGTGTGTTCGGGGCCCTTCAACCGGTAGCAGGACTGCAGTGTGGTGATGGCACGGCGCAGATCTCCGCCAGAAATCTTCACAATCGACTTGTAGGCATTCTCCTCGATATTGACGCCCTCCATTTCGCAAATGTGCTTCAGACGGTCGATCACCTTGTCGTCGCCCAGCGCCTTGAAGCGAAACTTTGAGCAGCGCGAGGTGATGGGCACAATGATGCGGGACACATAGTTGCAGATCAAACAGAAGCGGGTGCTCCGACTCTCCTTCTCCATGGTGCGTCGCAGAGCGGACTGGGCAGCGTGGGTCATCGAGTCGGCCTCATCCAGAATAATGATTTTGAAGGGCGGGCAAGGCCTGCCATCTGGACGCACGCTGCTGGCGGAGAGCTGCGAGAAGTTCTTGATCTTGGTGCGCACCACGTTGATGCCTCGCTCATCGGAGGCGTTTAGCTCCAGTATACGGTCCTTAAACATGTCCCCAAAGATCTGCCTGCTGGCTGCCAGAATCGTACTGGTCTTACCCGTGCCGGGAGGTCCGTAGAGCAGCATGTTGGGCAGGTCCCCGCCCTCGACGCACTTCCGTAGCACTGCTACCACCTCGGACTGCTCCACTACGTCCTCCACATTGCGCGGGCGATATTTCTCCACCCAAGGAGCCGGTGGTTTACGTTTTGTCGCCGCAACTCCCTGGCTCTTCTCCCCTTGTCCCGTCGTCGTTTTACCGGTTTTAAAAAACGCCTTCATTTGGGAATGTTTTTAGCAAACAATAAATTGCAATTCGAAGCGATAACAAAAAGTTTGCCGCGTTCTTGCCGCCAAGTTATTCCGATAAATCTGTTCGATAAAAAGCTATATCTGGCTTTAATCGTTGTGCTAACAGTTGTTCAAAAAGTTTCCCTTGATATCGTGTAGGTGCGAAATCATAACAAAAAATGTATAAAGTGTATTGTCTTAAAGTATGTTTAATAAACGTTTGAGTGGTTTTTAGCCTGTAGAGATCTCTGCGACAGCACCAAAAATAGCTAAATTGGCGGTACTGATGCCGAATTTTGGGCCGCTATCTTGACGTACCATATGTTCATTTTGTTGACGTTTACTTTTTTGCCAGGAACCGAAGAGCACCTGGTTGAAAGGCCTCCAATCGAAGCTTTTTCAAAATAAAATGGACCTGATCATTCTCGTGGGGATTGCCACGGCCCTTTTGGTCGTCATTATTACTCTGTACTTTCTGCAAAAGAAGAATGCCAGCCCAGGTGAGTTGTCAAAAATGGATTCACCATCTAAAAATGCGACTTACTATTGACCCCGAAATAGAAACCAAACCAGCGGCTGCTCCACAACGTGGCGTTCCACAGCGCGCGCAGGAAGGAGTTCCTCGCCGGGCTCAAATAGCCCGAAATCAGCGTAATCGACTGCGCCAAAATGCTCCAGCTGCACCAGTTGCTCCGGCAGCAGGTGCTCCGGCTGCCCCCGGGGACTCCGACAACGATGACGAGGCCCAGGTGGATGCTGATGGTGCCCGGGTACCTCAGGGCGCTGTGCTTGACGAGAAGATGGGCGCCAAGAAGCGGGCCAAGATGGAGGCCAAGGAGCAGAAGCGACTGCAGCGCGAGCAGGAACTGCATGACCGAGAACAGCGCAAGGTGAAGGAGGCCAAGGAGGAGGCTGAACGGAAGCAGCTGGAGGACATCGAGGCGGAGGTGGAGCGCAAGCGACTAGAGGCCGAGCGCCTGGCCAAGGAAGAGCGGGAGCGCAAGGAGCACGAGGAGTACCTGAAGATGAAGGCCGCCTTCAGCGTGGAGGAAGAGGGTTTCGAGGAGGGCGACGCCGACGAACAAGACAGCTTGCTGGCCGACTTTATACAGTACATCAGGGACAACAAGGTAGTCGTCCTCGAGGATTTGGCCGTGGCCTTTAAGCTCAAGACGCAGCAGGCCATCGATCGCATCCAGGAGCTGCAGGCCGATGGCACACTCACTGGCGTGATCGACGATCGCGGCAAGTTTATCTACGTGTCGGAGGAGGAACTCGCGGCAGTGGCCAAGTTTATCAAGCAGCGAGGGCGCGTTTCCATTGCCGAGCTGGCCGAGAGTAGTAACAATCTGATTAACCTGACGCCAGTCTCCGCCGGCGGCGGGGAAGCCAGCTCTTGATGAGATTTGTTAGTCATTTATAAATTAAATTTATATATTTAGATTCGATCTGTTGGTAGAGTAACATGAACAAAACAAATGCAAGCAGACAGACTTCTGATTGGGTATACATAAGTTCCATTTATGCTTTTTACTTAAGAATATACTTTTTCCGGATTCTTTGCCTTGCAATCGTCGCACTCACAGACCAGCAAGAAAGTATCGCCGTGCAAGTGGTCACTTGGATTCCGCTTCGAGCTAACCAAAAGGTTTGTCAACTGAAGATTGGATGCGAAATAGCTTCCCTTCGGTGTTTCCGGAGTCACTGCTGATGGCTTCCTTGAGAACTTGTCAGCAACTGTGTTGGTAATTTAAGAACAATGATTACTCAGTTGACATTCACAAAAGACCTCAAATTACATTCTTTCACTTTGACTTGAAGCCTATCATTGATAATGATTTGTTCATTCTCGTCCGTTGATTCCGGATCTTGCAACTGAGCCAGCCATTGTGAAATTGCGTTGGTAGTTAGTCCCTCACCATTGGAGCCCAGAATGTTCATAAGAGCCTTATACGCCTTCAGTGTCCTGAACTAATTTGTTAAAGGAAAAGGGTAATTAATTGCAATAAACTAGAAATTCCCAATAACTTACTCTGCTTAGCTCTTCGTCATTGAAAACTTTGCAGTACGCCAAGTACAAGGACGGCTTCTTAAATAAAATCCTATACTGCATGACCATGAAAATAAGAAGTACCACAACTTGGGCTATGGCGATGAAGACCATTTCTGAGTAGAGACTGCTAATTTGCTGCTGAAAGCGATCCCCTATGAAGCGCTGGTAGTTCAGTCCCTTTTGTATCGCATCTGCCTGATTCAAAAGCTGGAGAACCCGCAACTGCATATTGTCCAAGTTCTCCTCCCTCTGAATTTTTGCCAAATCGATGGCTCGATCGCCCTTCTTAATGTCCAAATGAACACGCAGCAGAGCACCTTGGAAAAGGGCGGTACTGTTTGATTTCAGGCAGATGCGGTGGGGGCCGGGCCAAAAGGTTGTGAATTTGACGCAGGCCTCTGAGCCATAAACTCGGGAGAGCAGAACCTTTCCGTCACTGTCCCGCACTTCCATATGCATTCCAAGGCCGAAAGGCAAGGGCATAAAGCCGCCGGAGATCCTGGGATCCTCTACCTCCACCCTGAAGTCGACTAATGAGAGGAGTTATAATCAAGTTAGTTGTTCGCATGTTTGGTAGGAAGCTTTGTTACCTACCAATAACATCTGTATCCTCGGGCGTCTCCTCGACAAAGCATTTACGCTCCTTTTCCCGCATAAGGAAGTACAGGCCACAGGTGCTTTGCAGGATGCACAACAGCAGGACCAGGGAGATGAAATAATGCTTCATAGTCGCTCTTTCCAATTCTACATGCGTGCTCTTGCAAAAATATATGAAATTCAGACAAAGCGGATCGTGCTGCAAGCTTATTGATAACCTGAAGTGTTGAACAACGTTAAGCTTCTCCAGGAGTGGTAAGGGGTGATGACTAACTACCTATAAACAGTGCACACTCGAAAGGGCGGAAAAAACAAATGTTTCATTATATGGAGGTATGAATTTGACCGAACTAAAGCTTTTAAAAAAATACTTTTAATTATATATTAAAATCTAATATCTAAATACTAGTATCTAAAAAAACACTTAAGTCCCAGGACATCTATAAAAACATCTTATAAACATGCAACAGAACTTTCCTATAGTTTTTTTTTTTTATTAATATTATATTTATTGGTGTGGACCAATGTTTTGTTCATAAACATTGCCGACGTTGTATTTTGCTGACGTTATAAAGTATGAGCAAACGGCCAAGATCTCAATTCAAAAATTACATGAAGTTTAATTTCTATTTATTATGGAGGAGTTGAAAGTTGAAAGCTCCCCCAAATTTATAAATGGTTTAGCTGTCTTGCATTGAAAAACACTTTAATTCTTCTCCAAGATCACAATATATATTCTAGAATCTATACACACATAAGACTGTTTACTTTTCAAATAAACATTTTCGTTGTAAACAGAATGTTGCCTTAACCTAGTTCATATCATCGTCATCGTCGTAGTCGCCCATTTCGTCATCATCCTCGTCGTCATCGCTTGTCTCGTCGGGATCGGAGGCCTGCGCCCGGCACTTGGGGCACTGACAGACAAATATGTAGTTCTCGCGCAGGACCTTGTGCCTGGAGTGACGACTCCGTTCTAGCATGCACTCGTCCAGGTAGGAGATGCAGATCTCATCGCCCTGTTGGATGGGCGTCAAAGCCTTCATCACAACGATGTCGTTGGAGTAAGGAAACGTGGAGCAGGCATTTGGTACGCAACTGTGGTTGATCTTGCTTTGCAGAAGGTAGAGCCCGGAGCCCTCGTTGTTCAGGAATTCGCCAGCAACTATTAGGAATATACAACTTTTTAGGTAAATTGCCATCCAAAGTTAATTTGGGTAATTACATTCTCCAACTTTGGCGTACAGCCCGTCGATGACCTTGTCCAATTGGGCCTTATCCGCATCCGGCAGAGGCAGGTCGGACACCTTGGTCACCCATTGGGACAGCACACTGGTAGCGATGCCCTGGCTGTTGGTGCCCATGATTCCCATCAAGGTTTTGAAGGCATCTGGCGTGGTGAACTGAAAAAGGAAATATTTAGTCATATATTAAACTTATCGCTGAAAAAATGCTTACCATGGAGAACTCCTCGCCGGGAAAAGCGTTGCAGAACGCACGGTACAGCTGATCCATCTGTTGCTCAAAGTTTTCGCCCAGCATTTTGTGGTAGATCTTCTGCTCGCGATTCACGATCAGCGCCTGAAAGGACTGAAGCTGCTCTAGAAACTCCGCCTTCTTGGCACTCTGCTGGTAAAGAGCCATTAGGCGAACAATAAGCATTATGCTGCCAGTCTCGGGTGGATAGTGCATTTTCTTCCAAGTCTCGTTTAGCACGTTAATAGGATGTGTGTCGTCGGAGCGGAAGGCGCCCATGCAGGCCACCCGGTGGTAGCGCTTCTGGGCCTCCATCAGGCAGTCCTCAGAACAGTAGCGCACCTTGCAGCGTGGGCACTGGGTGAATTGAGCCACCCACTGGGCAGTAGGATCGTGCTGTAGCAGGGGCACTTCCACACGGGGATCGCTGGCCAGCCGACGCACGTTTTCCAGTACCGTCTCCAGCGGTCGCATACAATGGTCGCAGGCCGCGTAACCGTAGGCCTCGTTCCACGAGAACTGTCTGGACACGAAAGGCTCTTCCTCAAATATCACCTCGTTCGCCGCAAAGCTTTTAGTCGCGATCATGGCACGCCCCTGCAGAATCGATATGTTAGGATCGGATCGGACATAATAATCCACTTACCTTTCCGGGAACCTCTTGAATCTCAAAGTTATTCATTGTCGTTTATTCGAGTTCTTAGCGAAGGTCTGTGTTTTGTTTTGGCCGACTGCACGTGTGGCGCAGTGTGCCCGAACATTTGCACCGGTTAAATATACCCAAAGTCTCCAAAGAAAGAAAAACAGGAAGGAAATATACTAATACACGGTATAACTTTTATTTAAAATATAATTTATTTATAAGCTAACGGTTATTTAAAAAAAAGTAACACTTGCAGACAACATTTATATATGACGAGAGGGTAGACGTACATTTGAAATAACTTTGTTAAACCTTTTATAAATCAGAAGAAGACACATAACATAATAGTTCATATTAACTTAAGTAACTTTTTTCACTGTCTGCATAAATGGAAGCCTCAAATTTCAAGCTTTGGAAAAAAATATTCAAATATAGTCTTGCGTTATTCAAATGTCGATTTCAAAATAAATATTTCTTCATCGGTATCGATGCATCTTCCATCTCTAGGTACGGCTAATATCGTACAATCGATATCAGGAGATGCAAATCCTGAAGAGAAGGAAAAACAAGACTTATTTGGTCCTCGCAGCAGCCACATCCGTATCCCTGGCCCGTGTAAAATGGCAGATGAAGTGGTCACCCAGCCCGATGGCCAGCGCCAGTTTATTTGCGGCGTAATTGAGGGGTTCTACGGCCGACCGTGGACCACGGAGCAGCGAAAGGACCTGTTTAGGAAGCTCAAGTCGATGGGTCTTGGCTCCAGTCCGTCCTATATGTACGCCCCGAAGGATGACTACAAGCACCGCGCCTACTGGCGTGAGTTGTACACTGTAGAGGAGGCGGATCACCTGTCCAGTGAGTCACCTTTGAACTGTGCCAATCCCTCGGTAACATGCCTTTTTTGCAGGTCTGATAGCGGCGGCGAAAGAGGCGGGGATCACCTTTTACTACGCCCTCTCGCCGGGCCTGGACATGACCTACAGCAGCCCCAAGGAGATCGCCACGCTGAAGCGCAAGCTTGATCAGGTTTCGCAGTTCGGCTGCGAGGCCTATGCCCTCTTGTTCGACGATATCGAGTCGGAGCTCTCGAAGGCGGACAAGGAGGTCTTTCAGACGTTCGCCAACGCCCATGTATCGGTGACCAATGAAATATACTCGCACCTGGGCAGCCCCAAGTTTCTCTTCTGCCCCACCCAGTACTGTGCCTCTAGAGCTGTTCCCACGGTCCAGGAGTCCGAGTACCTGCACACCCTGGGCTCCAAGCTGAACAACGACATCGACATCCTTTGGACGGGTGATAAGGTCATTTCGAAGACCATAACCCTTGAGTCAATTCAAGAGATAACCGAGGTGCTGCGCCGTCCACCGTGCATCTGGGACAATCTGCACGCCAACGACTACGACCAGAAGCGCGTCTTTCTGGGTCCCTACAGCGGTCGCTCGCCGGAGCTGATCCCCCACCTGCGGGGCGTGATGACCAACCCCAACTGTGAGTTTTACGGCAATTTTGTTGCCATCCACTCTCTGGCCTTTTGGTCGCGCTGCAGCCTGGATTCGAAGGTAAACAGCTCACTAAGCGCGGATATAAAATTGGAGACTGAAAACGAGGACGAACTTCCGGCGGAGTTCCTCTCGAAAAACGTATACCACCCGCGATTGGCTCTCAAGTAAGCAAAACTACTAGACCTGCAAATTGAAAACTATATAACAACCTTTTTAAGAAATGCTATTACGGAGTGGCTGCCGGAATTCTTTATGGAGAAGGAAGCATGGGGGCCAATCACCAAACCCCAACCGCAAGTGCAAATGGTCATGCCCATCATTCCCATAATACCATCCATCAACACCTGCATGAGTCTCACCACCACCACAACCACGTCGACAAGCTCAAGGACGGTTCCTGAGGTCAATACCACTCAACTGCAAGCCCTGGCTGATGTTTGGTAAACTGTGGAATTCTTCAGTATTTGAGCCACCTTATTATTAAGTCGAACAATTAATTTCAGCGTTGTGACGTCGTCCTTGACTCCAATCTCCAATCCTGTGATGAACTCGCTAGTTTCGCCCACCAAAGTGATAACGAACGACGACATCATCAACCCCATTCCGACCACAGCAGCCAGCAACATTGAACTGCCCAAGAAAATACCAATCTCTGTCGTCCCGGTTCCCATAATGGAGGCAAAGGCCGTAGAGGAATCCGTGGAACTGACTCTGGACAATGCGACTTTCGATGAGAATGAAATCGAGCCGAAAAGCGATTCGGTGAAGGAGCGGCTTGAACTGGATGTGGACGACTTGGAGGAGAAGCAGGAACCTGTGGCCAGTCTTAGTGTAGACGCAATGCTTGACGACACAAACGGTAATAAATCGAATCAAAATTAATTATGTTATATTATTAGTAATTGTTTTCTAAATATACATTTTTAGCCAGTCTAAGTCCGCTAAGCGGCGGTGCCAATGAACCCATGGAGTGCAGCAGCAGCATCGCCTCACAGGTTTCTCCACGGGAGGACGAGGTAATAAAACTGGTGGCCGACGATGTGATTATGGAGTCTGTCAACGATGTGCATGTAAATATGGTGTTGTATTCGGAAAGGTATTCCTATTTCAGTTTTCATTTTCTAGAGTATGCATGTGGAGAGTGGGACTTCGTCGCCGATCTCAAATACGGAAATGCGCGAGGAAAACGAAGCTCACTCGGTTGGGACAATTGAGAATAAGTATGCAGAACAGCAAAAACTATGAGTTTCACCCATGGTTTAACCATAAAATTTCCTTTATTCCAGTACGACCGCGGGCGGATGTGAGCCAAAGATGACTATCGAGGATCTGGGCCTTCTCTGCGATCTCTTTTACCTGCCTTTCGAGCACGGCAGCCGTGGTCACAAGCTGCTTGTCGAATTCAACTGGCTGAAGGCCAATGCAAATGTGATACTCCAGGACCGTTCTGCCGGTGGCGGAGGTGATGCCATCAAAAGCATAAAGCCAGAGGTCAGCGAGTGGCTACTACGCTGTGAGCAGTTTGACGAGCTCTGCAGCAGCGTCGTCCAGCTGCTCATAAAAATCGCTCATTGTCAGAACAAGGAGATCTGCCACGAACTTTACTCGTATGTGTGGGATATCTCCGGATCCCTGTCTCTGCTCAACTGCTACATTAAGTGGCTGGCTCTCGGTCATTTCCCGCAAAACACTTCCTCTTACACGGAAGGCAGCTATACTTGTAAGTGTCGCAATTTAAATTTAAAAATAGGCAATTAATGTTTTGGCCATATATTGAAACCATTTTAGGGTTTAGCAAGGGTTGGAAGGAGGCTTTTATGTCCGGCGACCAGGAGCCGTGGGTCTTCAGGGGCGGCCTCATTGCGGACCTACAGCGACTGATGCCCGTGGACTCGGGCAACGACCTGTTCGTGTACAAGCTTCCGGAGCAGCCCACAGCTAATTACTATCTCCTGAGGCCCTACTGCAATGCAGACGAGCAGAACGTCAATGATGTGTGCACCCGATTGTATCTGAAGTGGCAGGAAGAGCAAGACGGAGCTGGTCAGATCGCGTTTCCACTGCCGTCGAATGTGTTCAACATTGTGGCGGACGGACTTATTGGGGCGCATCTTACACTCAGTCCGGAACTGTGCATTGTGGCCTACGATGAGAGCAACAGCATTATAGGCTACGCGTGCGCGGTCTTGGACGTCAATATATTCCGACGCAACCTGGAGATGTGCTGGTTAACAGAGCTGCGTGAGAAGTACCCCAAGGACCTTAGCTTGCAGGAGGCCAGCGAAGAGGTAAGGCGGCTCGTTACACGCTTTGTGGATCAGTTTCACGGCAGCAGCGGCCACGCGGCTTTAGAGCAATGTCCCCCGGAAGTAAGCGGCTCCTTTCCCGCCGTGCTAATATCCGGTACTCTGCGGGAGGCAGAGGAGAAGGACTCCGGCATAACCAAGCGTATGCTTACCGTGCTGCTAGCTGCCCTGCGAGCAAACGGTTGCTTTGGTGCTCACGTGTGTGTGCCCGAGCAGGACGTCGCCCAGGTGAACTTCTATTCCAGGATTGGTTTCGTGGATGTGTATCGCGAGGAGGCCACCCATTGCATTTACCTGGGGCGCCGGTTCTAGCGCTACTACTTCCGGTTGCCAGCTTCACTGCCTCCACTTTTAATGTTCCTTCTTCTTTGGTATTCCGGCTAGCGGTGCTAGCCACTCCACTCCGTACTGTCGTACTTGTCCTTTTTGTATTCTCATAAGGTATAAAGTTTGTATTACTGACCAACCCTTCTAGCATTTATCTTAAGCAACGTTTTCTTGTCGTGGAAAACAATAAAATACCAGTTTAATAACTATTCGGCTAGCCGTTTCAACTGTTTTTGTTAAGGTCGTAGAACCACACTGTGTTCACTCCATCCTCGATGATCTTTACGTGCTGCAGGTTAGGCAGTGGAAAGCGGCAGGCGATGATCTTGGTGTTGTGTGGACACTCGGCGATCAGTTTTTGCTCCAGGTCCTTCATCATCTGCTCTACGCCGAAAATGACAACGAAGTTGTAGTCCTTGATGTCGAATTTCCACAAGTCTCGCCGAAAGAACCTCGTCTGTTTTGAAACCCCATGACGCAGTGCAGCCAAGCGGGAGTAGTAGACCAACCAGGGGTTTAGCTCCACGCCGTCTGTCTGCAAAGTTTTGTGGTGCTGTGCAGCAGCTGGAAAGGATTACATAAGTGAGTTCGGGTGTATTTGAATTGAACGGGAGAAGCATACTCACCAATAACGATTCGCCCGTCCCCGGATCCAATGTCCAGCAGCTTTCCGCCCGCGTTCTTGGGTAGAAAGCTAAGGACATTTTGGATTTGTTCGGTAGTGGCCGGCACATAAGGCAAGCAAATCCTCCGGAAAGCGGGAGCCACAAAGGATGCGCACACAATTGATAGCCCAATGCCGACACCTCCTGTAGCCGCTATTAGGATTTTGCCGCCCGTTGACATACCATTTTTTGGGGACTTTGAAACTGTTTTCGAGACATCTGCATTCAATATCTCCATTATAGTTAGCTAAACTTAATTTCCATCCTAAAAATAATCTAATTGGAAGTTGCCGTGAGGTCAGCTGTTCTATGGCCCGGCTGCTTACAAGTGTTGCAAAATTACTAGAGACAAGAGTTGCCGAGGTCACTAAAATATTGAAAAAAGGCGGTATTTTTTTTAAAAGGCCTAAGAGATTGAAATAAGAAATATCAATAATGCTTAAGATTATGTTTTAAGTTTTTATGAAATGTCTATTGCGTTTTTGTATGCTGGCGGAAACTCCGAGACTTCCGGAAACTATAATACCTATAGTGTTTGAATTGAAAGTGTAGCTTCTTGTTCGAAGCAGCGCGAGCATATTAAAAGTTTCTTTATTTGTATCGAAATTGCATGTTGAGGCAAAGATGAAAAGCAAGTAGAGAAAATCAAACAAATTTAATACCAATAGTCGATTTCGTAATCGGTATAATCAGAATAGGCATTTATTGGTAAGTGTCTTCGCTAAACTATGAGGGTGTTCATCCGTACCATGGATTTTTTAGACATTTATGTTATTAACATCTGGCAATGCTGAACACATTTATGTTGGACATGTGGCAACACTTTTTTCGTGCGTTTTATGTGTGCGTGCGCTTCCTATTACAATTTTTCGAAGGATTTTCAGTGTGTTTTGTTGACGTGCACCGCGGCCGAAAGTGAAAAAGGCGATTAAACTGTGCCGTGCAACAGGGCGGGTCAGCGTTTGGCATAAATTGCAGTGTGAGCCCGCGTGCGGACAGGCGTAAGGCGTTAAAAATGGCGAACGTAAGGGACAGCGACACATCACTGTGGCTGCATAATAAACTGGGCACCTCGAACGACTCGTGGATAAACGGCTCGATCTGCTCCCAACTGAACAAGGAGGTGCTCCGCAACATCAAGGAATGTTTTCCGGACCTGCAGACGCAAGTTAAACTGAAGCTCCTCCTCAGTTTCCTCCACATTCCGCGCCGTCTGGTGGAAGAGGTAAATGGCGTTGGTGTATGGAAAAAGTACACCAGTGGAACACACACACGCACGCTGAGACACCCGCACACGTATACAGCGTTCACTTGCTGTTGGTGAAACAAAAGTGTGGAAAATGTGTAAATACTCAGTGTGAAACGCAAATCCCATCAGCTGGAGTTTGTTTTAAAGTGTATTGTTACTTTTCTCGATATTTCCAAACGGGAGACTTCGCTGGATGGTGAAAATAAATATTGGATAGGTTTCCCGCCACTTCTACTTTTGTGTACACATTTCTCTCAGCCACATACTTTTACTCTCCCTCGTGTGCCAGTGTATCAGTGGGTGTGAGTGTGTGTGAGAGTGGGCTGTTGTGGGTGGCCTACGGATTCATTTGTTTGTTATACTCTTCGCGAAGACTATTATTGTTCTGATAAGACGTTTGTCAAGCAGTGAGACCCTACGGCTATTGTAATAAAACTGTCTTGCAAAACAAGTTTGGAAAAAGATGAGATCAGACACCTGAAGTGCCATAAAAACCATCTAGTTTTAAAGATAATCGCACTGGCGCATATTTTCAGTTGTTACTTGCTATTGGATGGATTTATACAAATTCGTCATGAGCTGTAAAGTCAAAAGCCCCATTTCTAATTTTGTTTGTTTCAATATAAAGGAGTTCAACATGTAGAGTTTAAAACCAAATGAAATCAAATCAAAGTTCGAAACATTTTAGCGTAACAGTTGTTTCAGGGTGTCTAAAGTGCGTCTCCAAGTGTGTCAAAGCTTCGAGATTGCGAATTAAGCCTATTGTCCCGAATCTAATTTATATTGCTTTTGCAGTGGAAGGCCGAGCTTGAGGAGGTAATCGAGGTGGCTGGCCTCGACTCGGAGCTGTGGGTCTCGATGCTGGCGGAGACGATGAAGACGTTCCCGGCCACCAGTTCACTGAACACAGAGATCTCCGACTACGAGGACACACGTCCCATCTTCACAGACATGGTCAACGACCTGCGCAGGTTGGTCACCAAGCACTCGGACTTGGGCATGTTGCCCCTTGAGTGCCAGTACCTAAACAAGAACGCGCTGATCTCAGTGGTGGGTATATAAGCAATCAAAACCCCTCTTAGGTTTTACTAATTATTGTTGTAACTACAGGTGGGCCAGCAGCCCGCTCCCGTCAAGCATTTCACGCTGAAGCGCAAGCCCAAGAGCGCCCAGCTGCGTACCGAGCTGCTACACAAGTCCGCCGATGCGCAGTCCTCTCTGAAGAAGGCCTCAGCACCCACGATTCCTCTGCGATCACGCGGAATGCCCCGCAAGATGACGGACACCACGCCGCTCAAGGGCATCCCGTCACGCATGCCCACCACTGGATTCCGATCAGCCACGGTGCCCGGCAACGCCGCCCAGCGCCCCAATCTCAGTCGCATGCCCGCTGGTCGCAAGGATGGCGGCATCAAGCTGATCGAGTTCACCGAACAGCCACTGGGCTACGCGGCGGCCAAAAAGCGCAAGCGCGAACAGCAACTGGAGGAGCAGCAGAAGAAGCAGGAGCAGAAGCAGCAACAGGCTGCAGCGGCAGCAGCTGCGGCGGCCACGGCAGCGGCGGCCAATGCGGGCGACAGCTCGCCAACGGATGCGGCCACCGCTAGTGGGGGAGAAACTCCTGTTACACCGACGTCGGCCAACAACAGTTTCGAGATCAAAATGGAGCCTCAGCTCAACCAGAGCGCCGGCAGCCTGGAAGAGCCGCAGGACGAGGACCTTGCTGGCAAAACGGCCATGGAATGCGATCCCGAAACACCGGAGTACGCCACAGCAACGTTGGAATTTGCACAGGCCACAACAACATCCGTGGTGGATGGACAACCAGGAAAGCCTTCTGTCGAGGCAAAGTTGAAAACGCCGCGCACTCCGAAATCAGCCGCAAAGCTGAACAACAACAACAACAACAGCTTCAACCATACCCCCAAACGAATCAAGCAGGAAATCGAAATCAAGAGCGAGGAGATCATAGTGCCCGCCAGCATCAAGCTGGAAAAGATCGAGACTTCGCCGTCGACGCAGCGCGTCATCATTCAGCAGCAGCCGCCTAGTTTGGTGCAGCGCACGCCGCACCTGCTTATCCGCAGTTCGCCACAGAAACGGCAGAACAATGGAGCCACCACGAGCACCGCCGCAACCACAACCACTGTGGGCAACACCACCATCAAGATGGAGAAGCTGGACATCAAGCCCATGCTGCGAACCACTGGCGCGTCACCCTCTACGAGTGCGGGCACTACCACCACTCTCCTAACCCAGCAGCAGCTGCGTCAGGCGGCCAATCCACTGGCCAATCTGCCCAACAACATCTCTGTGAAGATCACTTCCGCAAAAGCGAAGGCGGCGGCCGCGGCAGCAGCAGCAGGTCCCAGTGGAAGTCAGCCTCAGTCGCAGGCCCAGACGGTTCAGGTTCAGCAGACACCACAACAGTCGCAGCCTCCGCTTCTGATCAACAGCTCCACGCCTGTCATCCTGGCATCCTCGCCCAGCGCTCAAAGAGTGGTAAGTTGTCAGGAACTTAGCGATTGTTTATTCTCATCCTAATCTCAATGAAAAAAGTCTGGAGTAAAGCCCATTAAAAATGTTATTCATTTTGTTCATTTACCAAAGAAGTAGTAATTATATTATTTGTTTTATAAATATGTTTCACTTACATTATTTTTTTTTACAGAAGGCTTTGGCCATGCCCAGCAGCAGTTCCGCCCCCACCACCACAACGACAATACCGTCGCAAGCCATAAAGACGATGCCGCTCAGCCAGCTGAAGACGGCCACCAACAGCGGACCTGTGATCATATCGCAGACTATTATTCAGCCGGCGAAGCGAGCCCAGCAACAGGCGGGAACCTCGAGTGCAGCGGCCTCTTCCCAGCAGCAGCAGCCACAACAGCAGCAGCAGCAGCAACAGCAGCAACTGTTGCACCAGCAAATACAGCAGCAGACGCAGCAGCAGTCACAGGTGCAGCAGCAGCAACAGCCGCAGCAGCAGCAGACGCAGTACATTCTGGCCACGCCCCAGCAGCAACCGCAACAGATTCAGCAGCAACAGCAGCAGCAGCCCATGTTGCCAACGCTTACCTCGTTCTCACACAGCCGGCCCTTGCCGCAAACCACCACGCTTTACCAGGCCACCACTCCCGGCGGAAATGGCCAGACACCCACCAAGATCCTGTTGAAGACCTCTGGTACATCGAGTGTGGTGATGACACCACTGCGTCAGGCCCAACCGCAGCAGGCTACCGCTGTGGTATCCTCGAATCCTCCGCCTCTGGTGGCCACCTCAGCTGCAGTGGTTTCGCCCGGACAGTCCAACACCCTGAACATTCAGAACGTGCAGCTACCGAATCGACCAGTGACCATCCAACCAGCATCCCAGGCCGCCCAGCAGCAGCATATGCAGGCCCAGTTGCAGCAGCAACAACCGCATCCGCAGCACACGATCGTGGCCAACACGACGGCCACGCAGCAGCCCAAGTTGTCGCAGGTCCTGATGCAGCCGACCGGAGCAGTTGGGGCTGGTGGCGTGTCCGCGCTGAACGTGTCTCCCACGTCCGGCAAAAACAAGACCATCATACTCACCCAGAAGGGCGTCATTCTGCGCAACATTGGGGGCGACATGTACCAGCAAATCCCCATCAGCAATGTGGGCAACCTGCAGGGACTCGGCGGCACTACGCTCATGACCACCACGGCTGGACCGCCGAGTCTGGTGAAGACCACGCCCTCGACTGGGGTGCAGTTGCAGCAGCAACAGCCTGGCAAGCAGATCCTGCCCACCCTAATACCAACCAGTTCGCTCGGCGGGCAGCACGTCATTGTGCAGCAGCAGCAACCCTCCAACGTCATCGGAAATGTAAGTAAAATATCATAATTAAATAAACAATTGAAAATAAGTTTAGTTGAGAAGTAGAATTCATAACGTTTGATTCATTCCGAAAAATATAATTGCAACATCATAATTTAACATCATTTTTTCATGAACTGTATAAAAAGTTTATGGTTTAAATTATTAGCTTATACTGCTTGATTGCTTTTAGAGTATCTTGACTTGATATTCATATAACTAATTATACTTCTATCAGTCCCAACAGCAGACCATCATTCGGCCAGTGATGACCAACGTTGGCGGAGGCTTGACCACGCTGCCGCAGGGACTGACGCTGATCCAACGGCCGGGCCAGCAGCCGCAGCTGGTGCAGGTGCAGGCGGCGCCGGGCAGCACGCAGCGCACGATTATCACCCAATCGAGCTCGGCGTCGCAACAGCAGCCGCGCCAGCAGCAGCAACAGATCCTGGTCCAACACAAGCCGGCTCCGACCCTGCAGCAGCGTTTGGTCACCTCCACCACCAGTGGTGGTCAGGGCCAGCCGGGCAATCCGAATGCGGGTATCGCGCGCACCGTGCAGGTCCAGGTGCAGGCCCAGCAGCAACCGCAGCAGCAGCAAGCGGCGCAACAGCAGTCGCAGCAGGCCCCACAGAGGCGAGGACTTTCGCTATCGGTAAGAAAACACCTACAAACTATGTTTAAATTTAAATTAATTCCTGTGATATTTTGCAGAACGAGCACGTGCACAAGGCGCATGAGATGTTCCGCAAGGCGAATCGCGTCTCGCGACCGGACAAAGCCCTCATCCTTGGATTTATGGCGGGTCTGCGGGAGAACCCGCGCCCCAATAACGAAAATGTGCTGGTCATTAAATTGGGTGAAACAGAGGTAAGGTTATTTAGGTCCTATTTTCAGTCCCCGTGACTAGCTAAAACAAGTATGACTCACATACTCATTGCAATTCAAATATTGCATAAAGACATGAAATACCAATATCTGGGTTTTTTTGATGACTAGACGTTTTAGTCAGTTCAAGAACAATTGCAAACTTTTACTTTCGACCTGATTACTTCCAAAATTGCTTTTGCTGATGAACAAGTAAAAAATTCTGATAATTCAAGATAATTATTCACAACGGCTAAAACCAATTGTAAATTCAATAAGAACCTTATAAAATCGTTTCAGTTCAATTAAAAATATTTTGGGTTCGTAAATGTTTTTTTTATATAATCAATAAAATTGCATATTCATTTCTATATATATTTAAATATACATTTAAATACAAATTTGCTTAACTTTCGCAGGAAAAAGTACAACAAGAGAACGGCAACATGGCGCTGTGCCTGGTGGAGTCGCACATCCGGCTGGACTACAACACCGGCGAGTGGAAGACATTCCAGAACTACAGACTACAGGACCAGACTGCCGCCTCATAGTCCACGAGGGTCATACGCATCGTTCGCAGCACCAAGTGAACGCGGACAGCCAGGCTGAAGCTGAACATGCGTATATAGATTTTGAACTATCTTTTTTGATTTGTCATCCGCTCTGCACGGGCTGCTTCGTCGCCGCCCCTAATTAGGCTACTGAAAACCCAACCGCCTCTTCCTCCCCTCCTCCACCCTTATTCCTCTCCCGCAGTCAACAAGGCACCCCAAGAAACGATGGAAAGAATGAAACTATAAAATAATTAAGGTAAATTAGCTGTACAGTTGTTTAGTATGTAGTAAAGGCTAGCGCTTAAACATTTAGTAAACATGCCCGTTCACACATCCACGACGATCACCAATCATCCCAGCACACATTCATGTTCACCGCCGGCTGAACGCTTCACTGGAGAGCAGTTGGAAAGGCGGATGGGCCAGAAGTGAACGTTCGGCCAGATCACATAAGCACACACACGACACAACAATTCACAACACAACACACAACACAACAAAACCACACACCCTTGCATTTGAAATCTGCATATGTATACCTAGCTTATGTAATTATTGTCGAGTAAAAAGTGTGTAATTATCTTACCAAGCAGCATAAAATTTAGAGACGCTGATCGGCGCTCGTTATTCATTAGAAATCCAATGAAAATATATAGTTATAGATATATATATATATGTATGAGCCGCAGCAACCACAGCAAAATTAACTTAAATCTTGAAGTGTGTAATAGACAAACAATAAACCTAGCATATGTATTTATGGCTTAAATGTTAAAAACGCTGCTTTTCATTTGAGTGGCAAGAATTTGGGTCACGCAAACTCAACGTTCAAACACTCGATCAATTGATTCATTTGATTACCATGACATCTCTGGCTAACTGGAAACTGAAAGACACATTCAAGCTGCATGGGATTAAACTTTGGAAATGACCGCTGAGAAGCGAGTAAGGTAATCCACCGAGTTTAATTGATTTCCTTGGATATGTGAAAAACAGGGTTTTGGCATTCCAATCCATTATGGGAAAGTACTTGGATCACGGTCAAGTGAGCGCATGTGGAATCAAACGCGGCTGTCGCTAATTGTCGATTGTTGTTTCTTTAATTGTCTCGAAATCGCAAGCTTACAACTAGTCAACACAAACTTACGAAACTCCTCCGCTGAGTTACACTATGCCTAGGGCTAATACTAGGTGGTAGGTGGTAGGTAGGCTAGGCTAACATAGTTAAATATAATACGTGGTGCGTGATAAATTCGCTGCAGATCTGATTCGGCGACGTGGCCAGTGGACTTTTCTGCCCGCTCCTACTTGGCCACCTCCTTCCAGTGGACGATGGCGCGCTGCTCGTCCGGAGCGTCCCGGAAGGGACGGCTGCCGTCGGAGTGCACGTACTCGTTCACCTGGAAGTTGAGGAGCGTCTTGTAGTGGTACACGTCGGCCAGCTGCTGCGTCAGCGGACTGGTGTTCGTGGTGAAGATGCCGGCGAACTGCTTCTCGCGGGCCACGCGCAGCACCTCGTGCTCCATGAAGTGCATGCAGGCGATGTTCTCGCGGGGATTCAGCTTCTCGGCGGTGCCCATCATGAACGAGTGCAGGATCTGGTTGGGGCCCTTCGGCAGGTAGTTGTCCCTGTTCCAGATTCGATATAAGTATATGTTTCTACAATTATATCATCTAAAGGCTTACCTGATGGGACCCTCGCAGAACTCAAGGAACTCGAAGACGATGAGCAGCTTGGACTTGATGTCCACCTCGGGCTCGTTCCGGGCATCAAAGTTCAGCGCCGTGCCAATGATGCGATCCGTGTTGCGATCGTAGACCACGAAACTCAAGTCCCGCTCCACCAACACGTTCCAGATGTCCTGCGAGATTTTAAGGGATTTAAGTATTTAGATATTCAATAATATTCGAAAATTTTAACCCATCATCAAATCTGAAATTATTTACTTACATTCAGTATATCGCTGTAATCGGTTCGCAAAACTCCTGGCTTGAGCCACTGTTCCAGGTCTGCCTTATTGTAAAAGCTGGCCACAATGATCCTATGTTAAAGGAATTGAAATTAGTATTTGTATTTCCCTAAGATCCAAACTCTTAGCTACTCACTCGATGACCTCCTGGCGGTGCTCCAGGCGCAGCGGCACTGCCTCCATCTTCAGATGCGGACAGGCATTCAGGGACTCCTCCTCCAGCTGCACTGCATCATGGTTTGCCGCCATCTTCTCGATGATCTCGCCCAGGTTCTTGGCTGCAATGAACTCGGAAATGCCGATGTTGTAGCCCTTCTCGCGCAGCAGAGTTACCGTGAAGATAGAGTTCAGGGAGTTGCCGCCCAGCTCGTAGAAGTTGCTGTGAGGCGCCAAGGTGGCCCTGGTGGAGCGTCCGATGACCCCACCCACTGTCTCGAAGAGATCCCGAGCCGTGAGCTTCAGCTCCTCGGGCACCTGGGAGTAGTCGAAGTCCAGGACGATGCTGTTGTCGCCCTCGTTGTTGTTGGCCGTCTCGTAGGACTTGAGCAGCGCCTGGCGATCCACCTTGCCGTTCACCAGCAGCGGCACGTGCTCCAGGATGACCACCTGGGGCGCCATGTAGTCGGCCAGCTTGTCCTTGAGGCGCGCTTCCATCTGCAACTCGGTGACCATTGGTGCGTCGTCGCGGAGCTTCACGAAGGCCAAAATGGCCTGGTCCACCTGGCCAGCGTGGTAACACAGCACCATGGCCTTCTCCACCAGCGGCAGTTCGGCCACGTTCTTCTCCACCTCGGAGAGATCGACACGGTGGCCCCGGATCTTCACCTGGGAGTCAGTGCGTCCCTCGTACATGATGCTGCCGTTCTTCAGGGATCCAAAGTCCCCAGTGCGATACAGACGAGCGTATTCTGAATGGTTTAATAGAACGATTAAAGTGAATGACAATAAGATGGTAATTTTCCTACATTAAATCCAAATGATCTTTTAAATTATGCGCTGACTTACTACAATGAACCATAATAACCACTAGTTAATAAACTTTAATTATGAGATATTGAGGTGTTGCCAGTTGGTAATAATAACTTGCGGTGTTAAATTACTTCCAAATCTATATAGTATGTATGCTCAATTTAGAGTGTGGTACGAACCATAGTTATCACAATTAAGGAGCTAAACTCTTAGCTTGAAGTGTTTTCCAAAATCTATCACTTAGTAAATAAATAGCAATTATAGGATTTTAAGGTGGCGCCAGTTGGTAGTAATAAATTTAAGTATTCAATTATTGCCAACATTTCATAAACTATCTAAAAAATAGGAATGCAATCACTTACTCTTCTCCACAGCAAGCGGATTCTCCAGGAAACGCTCGGGATCGCGTCCATTGACATAACCAGCGGCCAAGTTGAGCCCCGAAGCGAAGATCTCACCAATCTCGCCATTCTTCACAGGACGATAGTCCGCATCCAGAAGATAGATAACCGTGTTGGACACAGGAATACCTTAAGTCAATAGGAATTATAAATCAAATCAAGTTCCAATAAGAAAACAAGTTTCATCCTCACCTATTGGAACATTGTCGTAGAGACTCAGCTGCTTCTTGCTCTCGCAGGCGAAGTAGGTGACATCACCGAGCACCTCGGTGGATCCGTAGAAGTTGTACAGCCGGTGGACGCCCTCGTCGAAGTAGTCGAAGAAGCTGCTGGCCAGGCAAACGGGGAGGGGCTCGCCGGAGCAGACCCAGATCTGCAGGTTGTAGAGCAGCTTCTGGGCAGCACCGCCGCCCTCCATCTTCAAATACATGAGCATCGATCGCAGGAGCGTGGGCACCAGCACTAGCCGCCTGATCTTGTAGCGCTCCAGCAGGGCCACCAGTCGCTGGGGGTCCTTGGTCACGGCCTTGGGCACCACGAGAATGGCCAGGCCGCACATCAATGGACCCCACAGCTCGGCGATCGAGTCCACGAAGGTGAGGGCCGTCTTGAAGACGCTCACCGCCTCGTTGGCGGTGTAGGGGAAGGTGGCCCACTGCCACTGAAGGCGGTTGAGCACGCTCTCGTGCGGCAGGCGCACTCCCTTCGGAACCCCAGTGCTGCCGGAGGTGTAGAGCACGATGGCGATGTGGTCATTGCCACCACGCAGCATCTCCTCCGAGAGCAGATTGGAGCCACCCAGCTGCAGCGACTTGGCGTACAACTCCGTTGCGGAGAGCGTGGGGGTTCCCTGGAAGCGGCCAGCGTCGATGTCATCGTCACGGATCACCAGGGTGGGCTTCGCCTCCAGGAGGATGTGGTGGATGCGGTTGGCCGGGAAGCTCGGATCGATGGGCAGATAGGCGCCTCCCGCCTTCCAAATGGCCAGCAGCGTGGTGACCAATCCCTCCGAGGGCTGCATGCAGACGGCCACGATGAAGTCGCCGTCGCTGTTCGGCTGCAGGAAGCGTCCGTGGGTCTCGGCCACCAGGAGCCGGGCCGCCCGGTTGGCCCGCTCGTTCATCTGGCGGTAGCTGCTCTGGCTGGGCGCCATCCCGTGTCCCGGGGTGTCCGGCTGGTAGATCAGGGCCACCTTGTCGGCGTGCCGCAGCTGCTGCTCCTCGAAGATGCGGTGCAGAGCTCTCGGCGCGAAGTCCTGCTGCAGACCCTTAACAATCGACAACTGTGGCAGCGAACCCATCTTGAAATTATCTTATCTATGGTGAGTAATACAATTTTAATTTGTAAAATATAAAATTAATTATATATGCAATTAGTAAGTCAAAATCAATTAGGGGTTTTCTGCCCAGCAGATCACCCAGAGATTCTGTACATTACATCAGCTCTCCCAACTTTATTATGCAACGCGGGTTATTGCCTTATTGCCTTGCAGTGGCAATTAAACTCATTCATACATGCATATTTATAACACCTCGCCTTAATGGAGCGCTCACACAATAAACTATTAAAATGAATGAATACTGGACCTGACTTAATCGGATGGCTCCAGGTAAGATTTATTTACTGTGTTAATTTATACTCTCTTAAGCTGCAGAAATAATAATGGCAATTAGGTTAAATGGCTGACTAATTGTAGGTTTGCGGGGTTGTCCGATGTTTTTTTGTCAATCTTATTAATATGCAACAAGATCAAAAAGTTTACTGAACGGTTTCCCCATCAAGAATGTAAATTAATTAAACTTGGCATGAAGTGTGCTATTTATATAATATCTTCTGTGTATATGAGTTGTTATTATGCATTTAGATTATAAAGTTAATTGAAATGATCAACTATTCTGGTATTTTTACTGTTTGGGTTTTTATCTTGCATCGGTAGCCAAAGGCCTAGCAACAGCTGCGTTCAGTTTTATATCTACGCTCTCCATCATGTTTTTCCATAACCAATCAGTCATACTTTCATTACTGGTTTGTTTAATCGGGGAGTCCCTCCTTCGGTTAATTTGAAATACTAACTGCATTAGCATAGCCACCTGCTTTTAAATACTAATTACGGTCAGTTTAGTCCATGTGGGGTTGTACTACGATGTGAGATCTTTTCCGTATGTTCTATATTTATATTATTATATTTAATCATGCGGTTATTTAATTTGAATCTGTACTAGCTACCAAGACCAAAGCCACTGGAGAGTTGTCTTAAAGGAGGCATGTAGTTGAATTTTTATGGCTCGTTCGGTCGTTGGTCTTGGCCAGAAGCCCAATAACCGCTCGGAATGTTAACTCGTTAATTGCATTAAAAAATCCAATTGGCTCTGTCCCATTTGACGGGCCGCCATTAAAGTGAGGCAAGTGCAGGCCCAAGATTAACTGGAGGTCTTTAA